GAAGAGCGTTCTGGGCAGAGGGAGGCCCTGAGGTGGGACTGTGCTTGCTGGGCTTGAGGAGAAGCAAGGAGGTGGGGTCGGTGTGCTTGGGTGGCGTGGCCCATGTGAGGAGAGTGCTAAAGGATGAGGCCAGGTTGCTTGGGCCCTTGCGTTTTGTCCTGAGGATTTAGGATTTTATGCTGAGCTGTGGAGCCATTGGGAGGTTTTAAGTGGAGGTGTGACACTGCCTCCTAAACATTAAAAAAAAAACGAAGAGCAAGTGTGCTGCCTTCTCTAAATATTGGCGTTCCCACGGTGTGCTGGGCATGGTGGAGGAGTCACTGTCCTCGGCAGTGGACAGGAGCACACTCTGGGTCGGATTTCCTGGGGTCAGGCTGTTGCTGAATAATTGAGTGCTTTTCCTCCCCTGTCAGTTGGGGTTAGTGAGACGGTTAAATGACAGGGGAAGCAGGTGGTGCAGCCTACTGGCACCCAGCCAAGCCTCAGAAGGCATAAACTGCCATCGTTGTTTATCACTCTAGGTGCCCTGATGGGAGATACAGGGGGCAAGGGGAGTGTTATGAAAGCAGCACTCATTGTGGGGCTGCGGGATCTGGGGTGATGGGAACGCCCAAGGGAGAGCCAGACAGAGGGGACGCTTGTTGCGGGCCCGGGGGTGCGGTGGGCAGCACCGCAGGTGATTTCCACTGTGGAGCCATAGTGGGTGATGACAAGGCCCAGAGCAAGGGGCCTTGACAAGGCCAGACTGAGGACAAGGCCACAGGAGAGGGAAGGTGGAGGCACTGGGTGGGTTGGGAGAGGGCCGGGCTTGCACACTGGGGGTCCAAGCCTCTGAGCCTCATTAATGATGGAGGTTGGCAGACACAGTGTTGAGGAGGGTAGAGGGCAACCGGCCTCTGGAGTGGGGGCCTTACCCGAGGGAGGTGGAGTGGTCCAGAGCAGGGAGGAGCAGCTCCCCGCCAACTGTCCCTGGCGAACCGTCCTCTGATTCTCCAAAGACCCCTTGTCCCAGCTTCCCGCTGAAGGGACGGAGGGGCAGGCTCCAAGCAGCTGCTCTCTGGGCCAGGCCAACTAGGGCTGGAGTTGGTTTCTGGGCTCATTCTCACTGGAAGCCATGGCAGCTTCTGGAGGTGGCAAGGTGGGGCTCCGTCGGTTCCACTGCCTGGAGGGAGCCCTCATTCCAGGGGCGAACTGGCCTTGATCCATAGCCTCAGCGGTGAGCTCTCCTTCAGTGTGGGGACTCCAAGACTGGAGGGGCTAGTGGGTGGCAGAAGCCATGGGGGCCTTCCCCTCAAGGAAGCATCCAGAACCTGAGGCCACATGAGCCCTGTGCCCTGTGGGCCTGGCTGGTGCCTGACCAGCAGGGCATCAAGTGCTCACAGCCAAAGGCCTGAGGGTGTGGGGCCCATCTTCGGTCCAGACCTGGGGATAAAGGCTGCATTGTTTGAGCAAAGCTCTGAATGGGGCCTTTCAGATGGATTTCCACCATAGCTGCAAGCTTGGCTGTGGTGTTTTTGGAGACAGCAGGGAGTTCGGGAGTTGAGGGCAGGGCAGGAGCCCCTCGGGGCTGGGAATGGCCCCTGGAGGAGCTGTCCTGTGTGGGGAGGTTGGATGGTGAGGGGACTCTGCGCTGCTCACCAGGCTCCCTGGCTCAGGCTCATTCCAGACCCTGGGGTCTGCTCTCCTCAGCCACCCCTCCTCAACAGCTCCTATCGCCCCACCTGCGGGACTGGGCTTGGATCTGTCACCACAGGGTCAGGGGCTCTCTGGGATCTGGCCACAGGCTGCCTTCTGCACTCTGTCTTTCTGGGCACAGCCCTGGCTCCATCCATCCTGGGGCACTCCCTTCCTGTCCACATCTAAACATTTCTGGTAAACCCTTCTGGCTTTCCAGCAGCCCCAGCCCAGGCTTCTGGGGCAGCCATCTGTGTCACCCTGTCTCCGTGTGGCCTACTGCTCTGGGTTCTCCTATGAGGCATCTCTGGAAGCATCTGTGGATCATACTCAGGAAAGAGTCGTTTTCCAAAAGAGGAAAACCTGTGCCCAGGAAGGTAGTGAGTGAAGATGGAGTGAACCTTGACCATGCCCATGTGTGGCCTGCCTGGAACGGTTCATGCTGGTGTCTCTGTCCTCGCCGGGACACAGGGAGTGGTGATGGTTCCTAGAATTGACGGCTGGGGGCTTCTGGGAGAGTCCCGGGGTTGGCGCAGTGACCGTGGCCTCTGTGCAGCACAGGTGCAGGAGAACTCCCCCGCCCAGCAGGCAGGCCTGGAGCCCTACTTCGACTTCATCATCACCATCGGGCACTCAAGGCTGGTGAGGCCCCCCCTTCTGCCTCTGCTTTGCTTGTGTGTGTCTCCTGCTGTCCCACAGGGGCCCCAGCCCTGCTCCTGCCTCCCTTTTCTGCTGAAGGGAGGCTGAGCCCCATCTCCCCTTCTTCCTGAGCCTGATGGGGGCCCTGCCTGGAGCTCAGCTCCCGGGCTCTCAGGGGTGGACTGGAGCAGGTGGACTCCTGGCACTGGCTGCAAGGTCTACGGGGCCTGCGCAGAGGGGCCTGAGAGGTGTGAGAGCTCTGGAAGGGGCAGCTCAGAGTGGGCAGTGCCGCAATGCTCTGGACCCCAGGGGCTCTTTGCTTACTTTGTTGTGCTGTCCGGGGGGACCGAAGGAGGAAGGTTTAGCAGGGCTTGGGGGTGCTGGGGGTCACAGTGGCTGCAGGCCCAGCCCAGCCACCAAGGCCCTTGCCCCATCTCAGACCCAGACTTGTCTGGGGGGCCTGGCCGGGTGTGTGTGTGGGGTCCGGGAGTCAGCCCCGCTGCCCCTGCAGAACAAGGAGAATGACACGCTCAAGGCCCTACTGAAGGCCAATGTGGAGAAGCCGGTGAAGCTGGAGGTGTTCAACATGAAGACCAATAAGGTGCGCGAGGTGGAGGTGGTGCCCAGCAACATGTGGGGCGGCCAGGGCCTGCTGGGCGCCAGCGTGCGCTTCTGCAGCTTCCGAAGGGCCAGCGAGCATGTGTGGCACGTGCTGGTGAGTGGGCGGGGCGTATGGGATGGGTGTGTGGTGGGGGCCTCCCAGGAGAGGCCAGCAGGCAGTGGGTCTATTAGAGGGTCCCAAGGGCAGGGTGTGGTCTCCCCTTTCCAGTGTCCCAGAGAGGGCAACTCCTCTCAGCCCAGCAGTGCCCTGTGACTTTGGGCATTTTCTTACCCTCTAGACGTTGGCTTCTTCTTTGGAAAGGTGGGGACGCCATCTGCTGGAAGCTTGGTTGTACTGCCAGAAGGCTGCTGCTGCGGCTGCTTTAGTCTTTATCTAAAAGAGTGTTTTTTCTGGTGTACTCTAGGGTAGGGGTCCCCAACCCCAGGGCCGCGGACTGGTACTGGTCCCCAGCCTGTTAGGAACCAGGCCTCACAGCAGGAGGTGAGCGGCAGGCGAGTGAGCAAAGCTTCATCTGCTGCTCCCCATCGCTTGCATTACCGCCTGAACCGTTAACACCCCCGCCGTCCGTGGAAAAATTGTCTTCCACAAAACTGGTCCTTGGTGCCAGAAAGTTCGGGGACCGCTGCTCTAGGATATTATGGTTTTTCTTGGCAGGTCCCCTGAGAGCACCCTTGGGCACTGGGCTGGTGCCTGGGGTCTGAACCTTAATGAATCTCTGTGAGTGAGTTGTCACAGATGTTGCTGTTAGTGTTCATTCACAGACACACATGCACACGTGACATGCACAGTCACTGATGGGGCCCAAGTTCTTGAATGCTCGGTCCTACGGCTTGATGGACAGAGGGTGCCCTGAGCTGGACACTGGCTGATTTGGTTTCTAGCCCCCTCTATTGCTCACTGACTCCTCGCGGGAGTCTTCTCAACCTTTTCAGCCAGCCTCAGTTTGTCCATAAGTGCAATGGGAGTGGTGATACAAATCCCTCTATATTTTCTGGGAGATTGGGGGTTGCGTAGTGGAGGTTTCCAAGGGAGAACGCAATCCTCGTACCCACTTCTCACCACCCTCTCCTTCAACCTCCCCCCACCCGCCACCCCAGGGGTCTTCAGTTCTGTGCCTGCAGCCGTAACAGCAATGCAGTTGGGCACTTACTGTGGGCCAAGGTGTGGTTTTCATTCTGTGCATACATTATTTTTTTAAATCTTCTCAGCAACTCTTGAGTGAGTACTACATATCCCACTTTTAATTGTGGGGAAACTGAGGCCGAGGGGTTAAGTGTTTGTCCATAGCGCCCTGGCTAGCTGCTGATGGAGCCGGGAGTTGGACCTAGGTGGTCAGATGCGGGAGCTCCTGCCTGTGGCACGGTGCTGCCCTCTGCTGGACAGGCTGTGGACCGGGGGAGGCAGGGGAACCAGGGGGCTGGGCTGGGAGAGTCTGGGCTTGAGGTCCTGGCCTGGGGACAGAGGACAGGTGGAGAGGCAGCTCCTGGAGAGGCAGCTTCCCACCCGCCGCCCCCCAGTAGCAAGGCTGATAGTTGGATAGTTCGTGATTCTTTCCTCAGGATGTGGAACCCTGTTCCCCTGCCTCCCTAGCTGGCCTGCGCCCCTACACTGACTACGTGGTTGGCTCAGACCAGATCCTCCAGGAGGTAAGGGACCACACACAGCCTTCCCCCCAGCCCCCTGGATGGGGTGTGGAGAAGTGGGTGCTGTCCATGAGAAGCGTCTTGTCTTGTGAGGCTTCCCATCCCAGGGTGGGAGCAGGGCTCAGGTGCCATGTTGTCTGTCGTAGTCCGAGGACTTCTTCTCGCTCATTGAGTCCCATGAGGGGAAGCCCTTGAAGCTGATGATTTATAACTCCGAGTCCGACTCCTGCCGGGAGGTGACTGTCACGCCCAATGCAGCCTGGGGAGGAGAGGGCAGGTATTTCATGGGGTTGCAGGGCTGCAGGGTGGGGCCCTGGTGGGGCCGTGGGGGACCCTGGCCATTGGGCATGGACCTGGAGTCCCATGGTGGGGATGGAGGGCTGGGCCCTGGGCCCAGGGGTCCTGAGGCTGACAGTTGGTCCATGAGGCCTCCTCATTGCTGGTGGATGGGGGTGGCAGGGATAGGAAGGGCTGTGGGACAAGCCCTGGAGTGAATGTTTCTGGTCTTCGGCAGCCTGGGCTGTGGTATCGGCTATGGGTATCTGCACCGGATCCCAACCCAGCCTCCCAGCCACCACAAGAAGCCATCTGGTGTCCCACCACCTGGTGTCCCGCCACCTGGTGTCCCGCCACCTGGTGTCCCACCACCTGGACCTACCCCCCAGGACTCTCCTGCCCCTTCTGGCCTGGAGACAGGCTCCAGGCAGGGTGACTACGTGGAGGTACGTGGGGAGCACCTGCCAGCTGTGGCGAGAGGGGAGCTTCATGTGGGCAGAAGGGCCTGCAGCTGGGAAGAGGAGACTGGGGGCTGTCCTCACTGGGGGCCTGCCTGCAGAAGCCTTGGGAGGCCCATCTTGTGGGACCCAGTGGGAGAAGATGGGCCCATCCTGGGACAGCGGAACCTACTTCGGTTCTCCTGCCACTTGGGTCTGGAGGTGAGGGTAGTGTGAGGCACTGCTTGTCATTTTCATTTCATGACCGGGAAACTAAGGCTTAGAGGTGGGCAGAGCCTTGTTCTATGCCTCCGTGAGTCTGTGGTAAAGTTAGGCCAGGGGCTGGGTGTCTGTCTGGGTCTGCAGCCAGATCGTGGCTGTTGAGAGGTCCCCCAAGTGCCTCTGGGCATTGGGCTGGTGCCTGGGGTCTGCATGGGGGCCCTTGGGGACTGCTCTCCAGGCATGGACTCTTCCTGTGGGTCATGGATGGTGCTCCGTCAGGTGGGCCCCTGGGGCTGCTCAGCAGAGTGGGAAGGGTGCCCCGAGTCCATGTCCACACTGCACGGGAGGCCAGCCAGGCCCCTCTTGCCTGACTTCACATCTGCTGTAGAGGAAGCGGCAGATGCCCAGGGCTGTTTGCTCCCTTGGGCTGAGTGGTGCTCCCGGTGGGTGTGAGCTGGCGGTTAGGTTGGACTACCCTGTCCAACAGGTCCCTCCTGTTCCTTTTTTTCCCTGGCTCTCTGTAGGCCCTGCTGCAGGCACCTGGCTCCTCCAAGGAGGAACAGCTCCCTGGGCCCCAGAGTCCTGGCCATGGCACTCCAGACCTTGGCGGCCTTCCCCGTTCCATGGAGATTCCTCTTCAGCCTCCGCCTCCACTGCAGCGAGTCATGGACCCAGGTACCGAGCAGGCTGAGAGGAAGCTGAGGGCCTGCAAGCCCTGTGCCGGAGCGGGTCCTGGGCTCTGGGCTGGACTTCGGCAGACCCACTGAGCCCTCCTATTTGATATCCGCCAAGATAACTGCAGGTGATCCAATCAGTATACGGATGGCAAGACTGCCGTCCAGAGGAGAGAAGGGGCCAGCTCAAGGTCACACAGCACACTGGGCGCAGAGCAGGGTCTGGGCCCTCTGCCACTGGGCTATTCCCATGATACCCAACCCCAGGCCCCTTTCTTTCCTCAGAAACCAGCAGTGGGGAACCTCTGGGGTTGGCTGGGGGCATTGCCACGGGCTGAGGTTACAGTCTCTGGCCGGGCCATATGCCCCAGGAACAGGGCGCCGTGAGCCCAGGGCGCTGGCCTTCCAGCAGTCAGAGTTTTGTTCTGGCAGAGAACTGTGCACCTTCCCCTAGGCTTCCTGGACGTGTCCGGCATCTCCCTCTTGGACAGCAGCAACGCCAGCGCCTGGTCTGGGCTGCCCTCCTCCACAGAGCTGACCTCCACTGCGGTCTCAGCCTCAGGGCCGGAGGACGTCTGCTCCAGCAGGGGTTCTCGTGAGCATGGCGGTGAGTGGCCGGCTGGCACCTTCGGAGGCCTTCTGGGAAAGACCCCGGGTTGTGGGGAAGGCGACCCTGAGTCTCTCAGCTGGGTTAGAGGCTGGCCTGCAGGTGGAATGCAGCCGCATCAAGGCATTTGTACGCTAAAGCGCCCATCCCCCATCAACGCTGGGGGTGGGAGTTGAGGGTCAGCGGGGTTACTGCCCCAGGCCACACTGGCCCTGGTCTGTGGGCCTCCTCAGCTCCACCCCATGTGTTTCAGGTGAGGCCACCTGGTCTGGGTCAGAGTTTGAGGTCTCCTTCCCAGACAGCCCAGGCGCCCAGGCGGACCACCTGCCTCAGCTGACACTTCCCGACAGCCTCACCTCTGCAGCCTCACCAGAAGATGGGCTGTCCGCTGAGCTGCTCGAAGCCCAGGCTGAGGAGGAGTCAGCAAGCACAGAGAGCCCAGATTTCGGGGCACAGGCTGAGGGGGCAGCCAGCCAGGCACAGCTCTCCCCCCCCGAATAACACCCCAGGCACTAAGAAGGGCCTCTGATGGCATTCATGAGGCCCAGAAGTGGGAGGCAGCTCAGGCCACACTGCGTGGCCAAGCCCCCTGCATTACGCTTCCTAGGCTGCTGCTGACAGGGGGTGGGGGGTGGCGTGGCTTGTGTCCACTCAGACGCTACTGGTCTCCAAGAGGTGACCTCCCAGCATTCATTCTGCCTGATGGTCCTCCTGCCTTTGGGGAATTGGCCACTTGTTTGAGAGTCTCTCAAGTACTTTTGGGGTAGTAGGGGGCTGGGAGTAGCACCCAGGTTAAATAAGTTTTCCAGGAGCTAGGGTTGGAGAGCAAAGGATTCTTTGCCGCTCGGGTAGGGTGTGGAACTTCAGTGGCCGCGGGCCTTGGGGAAAGGCATCTTTCGGCCACGTACCCACTGCTTGCTCCTGCTCTGTGGGTGCACAGAAGGTAGCAGAGTCCAGGCACCATCAGGTGTGAAGATGGGGTGAGGGACGAAGGGGTTGGTGTGGAGTGTTTGCCTAATCGCTCTGTAGGGCTTGCAGTGATTCTTTCCACAGAGCTTAGCCAGCTCTATCTGTAATGGAAGGCACCCCCAAGCCCTGGGGACCCCTGCCGCTCCAATTACGGTCTCACTCTGTGCTACACTGCACAGTTGGCTCATGCTGACCACATACTCCAGCCATGGTTGGAGGAGAGGCAGTGAACTTGCCCACCTCTTCTGAGGGAGGATGGTTGGAAATTCTAGGCCCTTCAGCACACTCACCTGTGCTTGGACCACGATGCTTCTTCTTCGCCACCGTCTACACCCTACAGACCTGGGGACACACAAGTGTCCCCAGTTGTGACTCCTGTCAGCTCCCAAACTTTTACAACCATCTCTTCTAAATATACAAGTCATCCAGCCAGCCCCAGTGGTGAGTAAAAGTTACAAATTTAATTTCACCATCCTAAGCAGAATCTCAGAGCCAGTCCTCCCGACTGGAGTTCTTTACACACAGCTCCCACTCCAAGGGGAGATGAGGGGCCTGGACAAGATTGGGTAAAGGCCTTTCTGTTCTTTCCTGTAGTACAGGAGAGGGCTGTTCCCCTCACCTCCAGTGCCTTGGGAGGCTAAGACTAGGTCGGGTCTTTTGCTCTGCCTGGTTCCTGCAGGAAGAGGAGGGCTCCATCCAGGGATGGCCCCTCATCACTTGAAGGTCTCTCCTCTTTGGCTAGAGTCCCTCACCTTCCCACAGCCCTCGCTGAGTACCAGGAAAGCTGCCTTTGGCCTGGCCTTCTAGTCTCGGCCCAGCCGAAAGTCCCACCTTTACCATTTGATTTGGAATGTGTGCACTTACAGGGAATTCAGAGCTCTCTTAGGCTCATAGGACAAGGACTGTCTGCTCTGGGGGGCACAGACCAAGTATATGGAGGGAGGGCCCCAAACCAGCAAACACTTCGCTTCTAGCACTGTGACTACATTTAAAAAGCAAGTCTTTGTCAAGTCTACCAGAGCAGCTGATAAGCCCACAGAACAGGGAGGCATTGTGTCCAAAGCCAGTGCTGGAGCCTGGTTCCTGGATTGTCTGGGAGACCAGTGCAGCAATCCAGGAAGTAGAAAAGAATCACCATGGGCCTGTTCTGAGGCCAGCTTCCCTTCACTGTAGCCTGGCAGTCCGACCCAGAGTCACCCTCACCCAAGGGGCCTGGTTCTTCCCTCCCTCACTTTCACACACTTCCCTCCTTAAACTGGGGGATAAAATGGATAGCAATGCTAATTATTTCTACGGTAAACACAAAACCAGAAGTTTCTTCCTTTCTCTGTAATCTGCTATGAAGGAAAATGACAAGTGAAAATAAATGTGTACTACACTTTGAAATATTGTAACTAAAGCCTTTATTCTATACAACTGTGAAATACAGATTTTTACCCTTTTGGCATTGCAGACTGTCAAGATTTTCTGGAAACTATTACTGGTTTGACTGGAACAACAAAAAAAACCACAACCATGCTGGGGGTGAGATCTATGACAGGAAGGGAGCACAGCCGCCCCTCGAGGCTCGGCACACAGGGCAGCATGGCCCAGCGAGGCCCATTCCTTCAGCCCAAGGGCCCCTCGTGCAAACACAACTGAGGGCTGGTAAATGAGTTTTTTCTTTTTGCCATTAATTCACAACTATTGCTAAAAAATGTGCACCAAAAGCGCACTGTTGTATTCAACAGATAGAAAGGATTTTTAAAAACAGCCGGTTGCTCTCTGCATAAGGGAGACAGGCTCACTGGAGATGTGGCGTGTCTTTGCGCACTTCTTCAAAGTGTGGCGGCAGTGACCAGCCCGCTTTCCAAAGGAGGCTGACGAGCAGTGAGGAAACCCTGCCTCTACGGTTGTGCCGGTCGGAATATCTCAGATAGTGAGGTCTGGACTCAGGCCACCAGCTGCCTCCAGCTGAACCTGTCAAGGCGTAGAAAAGAAAAAACCTTCCCCACCCCCTCCGCAGTCCCTGCTGTGTGGGGACGGGCCACGCTGGGGAGGCAACTGGACTGGAATAAACTGCCCTCTGAAGGCACTTGTGCTTCTGGCTTCATCCAGGAGGCTTGTCTTACGTAGTTTTATGGGGGTGGACCATTGTTCTATTCCAAATACAAATGACCCTAGGGAGAATCCAAAGTATTTTTTTCTGCCAAAAGTTGACGTATTTATCCCCAATAAGTTATATTCTGTACAAGATCCAAATGATTCTATGAAAGCTTTAGATTGTTAGAAAGAACAGTGAAAAGAAATCTGGATACAGGTACAACAACAACAAAAACCTGCATATAAAACTGGAAAAAACAAACATGTATACTTCCAGGATGTGAATATCAAATTAACTCACTATGATACCCTTTTACTCTGACACCATAAATATTAGGTAGCATTTAAATGAAGTTAAAATCTCATCACAGTCTTAAGTTTTGATGGTGTCACGCTGCTCACCCAGAGCAAGAACCTGTGGTGTCACCTGGCTTTGCCCATAAATAAAACGACACAGTGGAGGAAGGAGTAAGAGAGCTGCACCTCCCTGTGGCCGCCAAACAGTCCAGGCACCGTGGGGGTATCACCGCTGGGCACAGGCTGGGCATACTCTAGGCTGGCAGTCCCAGTGCTGTGATCCAGCACCTGGAATTTCAACAGATCTTCCTACAGGAACACATCTGAGATGCAATATTAAAAACAAGCCCAACAATAATCATTTATTATGAAATGGGCTGGCTCTCGAATTGTGCAGCAGCAAATTCCTATTAAAAGTAACTGTCTTAAATGGTGAAAACAACTTGTTTTTTAAATGACAAACTTGGAAAAAGCCTTCATAGGTACTGCATGAATGGAATGTACTCTTAGCAAAGCTCAAGAGTGTGGGTTTGGAGTTGAAACACAGTGACAAATGTGGCCCTACCAGTGTGTTTCTAACAAGTGCTAACAGATCAAGATAGGGTCCTCTGAAACAAAAGGAGGAAGCAAAGTCTGCACTGGCCTGTCGTTAGTTCTCTGTACACCTCGCAAGACACAGTCTGCTCGGGGCTCTTCTGCTCTGGCACTCTGCCTTCCTGGGGACAGCTTAATCTACACATGGAGACTGGTTTCTATATTACATCTCGATTAGTCACTTCAATTGAAAGAGAATCTCAGTCCATACCAAATCGGCCGTTAGAATTCTTGTTCCCGTTGGGGCTCAGTGGGCTTCCTAGGACTACTCTTGGGGCCATAGAGGAAGGTCAGTAAATGAATACCCAGGAGCGTTTGCCCACCCTTCACGTGGACTTCTGACGGTAATGGAGGGTGAGGTCACCACCACTCTTCCATATGAAGTGTTTCACTGTTCGAAGGTCCATATTTGGATCCAAAACCTGAATAGCAAAAAATGAATAATAAAAAAGGTGTATCTAAGGCTTTTATCCTTAACTCTGGGACTCTCCTTGCCCATGCCTGGTGGCCTGTTCTTGCTGACACAGCTGCCTTGCAAGCAGGCACGGATCTGGGCATGGTAAGATGTGCAGCTTGTGTGGCTAGGCCAGACAGGCCATGTTCAGTCATTCCTCTGAAGAAATACCTTGAGTGCATCTTCATTTACAACATCTCCACTGATGGCTCCACCCACCTCCACTTCAAATCTTAAACTAACATGGCAGATGCTGCCCTGTAAATAAAGACGAGCATGGGGCATCCCTAGTGGCGCAGTGGTTGAGAGTCTGCCTGCCGATGCAGGGGACATGGGTTTGTGCCCCGGTCCGGGCGTGGAGCGGCTGGGCCCGAGGCCTGCGTACCGGAAAAAAAAAAAAAAAAAAAAAGACGAGCATGTATCTTTCTTGTCAGAAAAAAAAAGCCACCAGCACATCCACGTTTGTCTGTGTGTCCATTTAAGTCTCCATGTCCCTTTTCTGGAAACTGCCCCGGGGATAAATGGAAGCTTTAAGGTGGGCTATCGAGCCCTTCAGAAGGGGCCTCACAAATAGGTGAGAGAGACCCAGTGCTCCTAAAAGCAAAAGCCCCCCAAAGGCAACAGACCTGGAAACTACAATCCCACCACATGATGAAATTCTGAGCACCAGCACTGGAAAAAATGGGGCTGTGTCCTTAAGTCCACTTACCTGGTCCTGGCACAAAAGTTCAATTTTCTCCTCTGCCAACACAGCAATATCCTCTTCTTTTTCCTGTTCTCCTGGTTTTTCATTATTAGAAGAGCTAGTGGTTTGAGACTCATTATCCAAGTTGATGATTTTCTCATAGACGTGTTCCATTACTTTCCGGACTTGAAGCATGTCACTAGCAGAGAGTCTATCTCTGTAAAAAGCAAGGGCAGACTGTGACATCAGGAAATCACTGGCTATTATCTCTTCCATATTTCTTGGTGTTAACATTTGACAAAGATAAAACATACCACAGAAACATAAACCAATAAATGTTCTTAGTCACTGCCGTAATCCATTTTTAGAATCGCCAATAGATTTTCTATAGTGTCCTCCCCAAAGACAGATTATGTGCAAATAAATGAGATTAAATACATATTCTTAAACCTTCTATATACATAAGGAATAGCCTTCTGGGTTTTATTCCCTTAAAGACTTT